TATGTACTTCCTTATATATTTTAAGGTGACATACAAATTTTTTGTCAAGATAATTGCAAAGGATGTAATATTTCACTTTTCCCAGCCGTTTTTGAGTATTTGGGTTATGCAAGTTGCCTTTAAGTGAAAGAGAAACAGGAATCGTTTAATACTCATTTTATGAGTCTTAGTAAAGCCCTTTAGTGTACTTCCCAGAAATTATGAAAATGAGTGGTGTGTTGTAAATATTGACATTTAAAAATCATTTCTTTTTTTTTTGGTTATCCTTTCTGAGGCTGGAAAAAATCATTTCTTTAAATGTATCCAGTGGAATCTAAATCCATACTGATTTTATAACTACCTTTACCTATTAAAAGATGAATGAACAACTCTCCTTTAACAACTAGTTGTTATGTTGTTTCTTTTGTCCCCTGAAATCAGGTTTTTTCGTTCTCTTTTCACCCATATTTTATGATGTAATAGATTTAGTTGCTTGAAAGTCTTTTATTAATCACCTCATCACATATCTCTAACATATACATGTATACATATATATAAACTTTAAGACATTTTTCCATGAATATTAAAAGAAATTTCTCCTAGACTAAGTTACTGTTTCAAGCTATTATTAATTCACAGTTGATCTAAAAAATAAATGTTAATAATCATTAGTATTATTAAATCATTACTCATCAAGATAATTAAATAAAAGTTGCACTGAAATTGCAAATTATAATGGAATGAGTGGGCTTTTAAGAAGGTAGTTTCTAAATAAATGGACAAATAACACTTATTGATGGAATAAAAAAAGAGTTCAATATTGCCTCTTTTTCATATTTTTCAGTTTAAGAGATAGAAGCACTGAGAAATCATGAATAAATACATGGGGTAGTAGGAGTTTTGTTATAGTAATGTCACTTAATTCTTTGAATTTCTTCTGAGTTCTGTGCCAAAAAATGACAACTCAATTAGATCCTTCTTCAGCTGTGTTAAATAATTGGAAATGATCTGGCTTACAAAGGAAATTGTTATTCATCCTTTGGAGGTGTTTATTTTTTCAGTTTCTGGAAAGTACACCAAAAAGGCTATATCAAAACTTCTCAAAAAATTGTTAATTGAAACTCTTCCTCTTTTACTTAGAGGCAACCTGTTTAACGCAAAATATTCCAAAAAAGATAAAGTAGCATTAATAAACCTTTGTCAATTTCCTTTTTTATAAAATGCTTTTAAACCATATGCTTTTTAAAATGTATTTTTGTCAAGACATTGGAGCTGCTAGGGTAGCTCATTCATTTATGGAAATTGACTGCTGTGTAATCTGGTTGGCAAAGCCAGTCCTTCTCGTCAAACCGTTTAGCCACATGAGCTGATAAAGGTCTGAGACCATTCTTCAGTTCAATAAATGTGTTATTAGTTTGTAGTCCCTCCAGCAGTGTATGAGTGTTCCTATCTCTCCCCATCCATGCCAACATTTGTTGTTTTGGGACTTTTTGATAAAAGCCATTCTCACTGGAGTTAAGTGATTTCTCATTATGGTTTTGATTTGCATTTCCCTGATGATTAGAGGTGTTGAACATATTTTCATAAGTTTCTTTGCCATT